TCTTGGATTAGTTTCAGGCTATTTTGGCCCTAAATTTCCTTTAGGGGAGCATTCCAAGTGGGTGCTCCCAGAACAAATTTAAAGAGACATATGCCCCACCAACAAACACTTCTAAGACATCAAGTCTATTTGGGCAAAGGTGGGTGAAAGAAACTTGGGAAGTTCTTTTCCTGGGAGACCTCTCAGGTTTTCTGACTCACCCCTGTAGACAACAAAGTTGTGTTTTGGGGAGTATTTTATACTTGGGAAGTGCCTGACATTGATGGGCTTGCTGCGAACTCAGCCTTTTTCTCACTCAGGAGGCTACTAGTCTGCTGCCAGTCTCCCCAGACATATGGGAAGGGACAAAGCATGAATGAAATGAAAGGACCTGAACCTGGAATCCAAGTGCTCCTGTCTCCCTACTCCTCAATGTGCTGAGTAAGACAGATGTTTGTGTAGGCAGAGATTCTTTCCTGCTTGGGCCCACAGCTGCCTTCTTTAGCCCCAAATGAATATTAGTTGTAAAACTGTTGGCCAAGGACTAGGGCTTCTTATTGGCTAGCTCTGTCTTAATAATTAACCCATTTCTATTAATCTATGTATTTCCACATGGTCTTATCTTACTGGAGAAGGGTCCAGAGCTGCCACTCCTTTGTGGTCTACATGGCAACTGTCTTTGATGGGCTCTCCCCGCCTACCTTTCCCAGAATTCTCCTTGTCCTAGTCCTGCCTATGTTCCTGCCTTATTGGCCAGACAGTGTTTTATCCATTAACCAATAAGAGAACATATATACAGAAGGACATCCCCATCACAGAGGTATTCAATTCTTTGGCAGATGGCTCTCTCCTGGATGAGTCTTCTCAATTAAAATTCTAAACTTTAGTTTCCTAAATTTTCTGACTTCTGGAAGCCTTCAGTTTTAAAGTCTTCAGCTAACTTGACTCCAAACAATGCTTTATCTCTTGATGGATAAGGATTCAGGTATTACCTTCTTGGAATACCAGAAGACACATAATGAGCTGGATTCTTTAACACTAGGGGAGATGGCAGATACCCTCAAAAAAAAAAAAAAAAGGCTTAGACTGGGAAGTCTTAAGTAGTCTTGGACCCGCCAATAGGAAACCTCCCAATCTCGAGGCTGCTCAGATATCAAGACTGACACTCTGTCCTGTCAACTAGAACGGCTCTGCACTTGGCTGGATCCTATCCTAGACAAATGAACCCAACCATGCTAACATTGGATCAGGGGGTGAGAAGAAGGGAAATAACAGGCTGTGGTCTCACTATCAGTTTGGGGAAATCATTTGTAGGTGTCTTGAAGTAATCAGGTTATTGGTCTCTGGGGGTTGTGAGGAGTTTACTGTAATTGTATTTGATGATATTATTATCTGGGCCTGAATCAGCATGGTTCTCATAGACTATTAGCTGCCGTAGTTTGAAGACTAATGGAGAAGAGGTAAACACTATAGTTTTTGGCCAGGGGAAGGGAAGGGAGGAGGGGTCTGGTGCTTTTTTTAGAGGAAAAATAATCATTAAAATAATTTTAGATTATTAATCCACTAAGAATCAGAGCAGGGGCCAAAGCCTGTCAGTGAGTCAATAATGGCTGGTAAGTCTTTTCAGACAAGGCTTTGTGAGGTCATTTTTTTTTGAGGCCAGTGGTGAAAGGCTTCATGGCCAGAGAGTAACATTTGGCAATAAATTAGTTCAGCTTGTTTCCACATGGCCTCAAATCTCCATTTGTTCCATCAGGAAAAACAAACTTTCATTTGTTTGAAGCAGGGGGAAAATAAATGATATTCCTCCTCACACTTTGACAATTTAATTTTTAGCATGCACATATGTTAATCTTTAGGAAAACACACCACTAACTATTCTTTCCCCTGTTTGGTTTTAGTCCCTGTAAATGCGGGGGGTGGGGGGAGGGTAACCCAACCAAACAAAAAACCACATTCTTAGTTTTTAACAGAAATAGCCACATTTTTCTCTAGGCAAAAGCTCAATGAAGGCACGAGAAGAGTACCGTGTAGCTAACAAATCACTAAATGAACTGGGGTAAGGCTTCCCTGGATGTCCCCTGTATAAAGTGAGCTACTACCTCTTAGACAAGGATGCACTGGTGGCAATTGTTTGTTGAAGGACAGGGTATGGAATGGGTGACTCCCCCTTCCCCTCTATAACAATACACTAAAGGCAAGAACAGATCACTTTCTAAATGGTGACATCCCCCTCAAAGAGCATTCAGTTAGAGAGGCAACCAAACCAAACCGGAACCACAAACTAGAGTTGTGGGAACTTTACATTTCCTCTTGAGTGTGAGGTAGTGGCTGTAGTACTTCTGATGGCAATGGCTATCAAGTGACAAATCCTGTTCTAAGAATTCCTTTCTTTTTTCTTTTTTCTTTTTGGTTTTTTAAGACAAGGTTTCTCTGTTTTGCTTTGGAGTCTGTCCTGGAACTCGCTCTGTAGACCAGGCTGGCTTCGAACTCACAGAGATCTGCCTGCCTCTGTCTCCTGAGTGCTGTGACTAAAGGGATGTGCCAGTGTTCTAAGAATCTCAAAACATGCATGCATTCATTCAATTCTGAGAGGCAGGTAATAGAATCTTCCTTTTAAAGATGAGAAAGCCAAGGCTTAGAGAGTTTATTTACATAACCTCATGCCACACAGCTTTAGAGGCATCTCCTGGACAAAAGCCCTCACTTTCTCAGGTTGCTATGGCTAGAATGCTGCTCTGTCACCTGCCAATTATGTGACCACTGGAAAGTTAGTTAACCTTCTAGATATGGGGTATTCTTGTATTTATGCAAGACATTCCATGTAAAATACAGCACAGTACCCAGAAAGGGAAGTTTAAGAGATGTTAGCTGCTGTGTTCACAAACATCAATGGGTCCCAGCATCTTGGTGAGGTTGTGAGGACCCCAGCATCACTGTGAGGCTATAGGGACCCCAGCATCGCTTGAGGCTGTAAGGACCCCAGCATCACTGTGAGGCTGTAGGACCCCAGCATCACTGTGAGGCTTTATTTTGTTTGTTTTCTTGATGTATGCTCCCAATCTTTGTGTTACATTTTTAGTGTTACCTTCTGGAAATCTCTTGGGAATGATGGTGTTCATGATAATTATATCAATTATAGTGAGAGATTATTTGTATTTCTCAGAATGACACTGCACTGCCCACACAGTTCTGTCACTCATCTCTGACAGGGCTAGGAGTGTTTTCAAGCTGGGGTGAGTTTTCCTCTCAGGAGACATTTAGTAATGTCCAAAGACAGCTTTGGTTGTTCTAAATGTGGTTGAGGGCTTGAGAGGCACCTAGGAAGCAAAAGGATTGCAGTCCTGCATTCAGAGGGTAGACCTGAAAGTAAAGATGCATCCATATCAGAAGGCCTCAGTTTAGAAACGGAGTTCTAAAAGCTCACACCAGTATGATACATATTATATATTATTTAAAATATTTGTTTATTGTTACGTCTACCTCTGTGAAGCTGTGTTTCTTTGCCTATCTGAAACACATGATTGGTCTAATAAAGAGCTGAATGGCCAATAGCAGGACAACAGAAGGGACAGGTGGGGCTGCCAGGCAGAATGAATAAACAGAAGGGGAAATCTGGGAAAGGAAGATCAAGGAATGAGAAAAGAAGGCGTGATAAAAGAAAGAACCAGCCACCCAGCTGCACAGCCAGACACAGACTAAAAAGGAAGGAAAAGATATATAGAAATAGAGAAAGGCAAAAACCTGGAGGTGTACGCCTGTGGTAGTTCATGGTAGAGAACCAAAGGTCGATTCTGGTTGTCTTCTTCTAGGGCCCTCTCCTCTATTTCTCATTTTTGAGATTATAATATAATCCCAACATTTCTTCCTCTCCATTCCATCCTCCAAACCCTTGCATATATTCCCCCTTACTCTCTTTCAAATCCATGGCCTCTTTTTCATTACATGTTATTGCATGCATACATGTGCAAGTGTATGCACATATTTTCCTAACTATAACCTGCCCAGTCTGTATGACATTACTCAGATGTATGCTTCTGGGACTGATTATTTGCACAGGATAACTAGTCATTGTGCTCTTCCCCAGGGATGTCTATTCCTTCGTTGCCTGTAGTTCTTCAGGTAGGGTTGATGCCTTGTGGGCTTTCCCTGTTTACTTTGGCATGTTTATTGATGTTGTCTTTGTTCAGCTCATGATTGGGCAGTCATGAAAGTGAGACTTTATGTGTAGCTTCTGATACTACTAGGAGGTACAACCTCATAGCAAACTCCTGAATCTCTGGCTCTCACAGTCTTTCTGCCTTCTTCCCTGCAGTGTTCCCTGAGCCTTAGGTATGGAAGAACCCTTTACTTTTCAAGGAAGGATTTCACTGAACTTAGAGTTTCCATCTAGCTAGACTGGCTGGCTGGGAAGCCCCCACGAGCCTCCCTGCTTTCTCAGCCTCCTCAGCACTGAGGTTTCAGACACATGCCACCAAGCCACGCTTGTTTGTGAGTGCCGGGATCCAATTCAGGTCCTAATGTTTGCAGAGAGGACACTTTACCCACTGAGCCATCTTCCCAGCCCCTCTGAACAACATTTTGAGGAGAAATTTTCTATGTTACTTTTGGAAGGTGCTAAATAAAACAGGTGCTCCTTTGGTGGAACTAATACTTTGTGACTTTTACTTTTAGGCAGTGTAAATATAATAATATGGCAATTATGAACTTTCAAGTAGAATAGTCTAATAGGTAACACAGATGCTTTCCCTGAATTTTATTATGTTCATTAAAGTATCACAACATAAGCAATAACAATATTGCAAAACAACACTTTGCTACAGCCAATAACCAGCAGTGGTGTAATGAAAATGAGAGCGTTCTATGAGAAGAGGCAGTGTCTTCCGTGCAGAATGCTCACCCCTAAGTGAGACCTGCAACCATCGCATTAAATTTTCTGTTTTTAAGTACATAATTTTATAGGTAGTATTTATTCATTGATCAAGAGGTGCTATAATTAGATGAATTAAATGGTTACTCACCTAGCAAATCTGAGGCTCTCAAATTTTCTCTTAGAAATATAACAGAAATTATGGCACTACCTACAAAGAAGAAAATGGCTATTAGTAGTAGTTCCAATATAAAACACACACACACACACACACACACACACACGTATTATTCAGGGCACTATGGAAGAAATTAAGCATCTCCTGTCTTTGCTTCACTCGCTGTTCTCTGAGTAGACACTTGGCAGTTGTGGCTGTAAAAATGATTGCCTTCCATGATGGAAGAAGACACATAGGAACTGAGCAAGGATGGTAACAGCTCCTGGTTACAGGGCGGGCTTCGTAAGTTCACTGAGTGAATGTGTGGGAAAGAAGGGAGACATGGAGGAAAGAAGATGGAAGGTAGGAGGAGAGAAGCAAAGAGAAAGGAATGAAATAGGAGAAGCTAGGAGGAAAGTAAAGAAACAGACAATGTTTAAAATGTATATATTTAGCTATTGATGTCCGATGTCCATGTGGACCCCGTATTGAGCCATGTGTTGGAATACAGAGGCCATACTGAACTGGTTCTGCACTTTGCTTGTGGGGCGGGCGGGGGTCCCAGAGGCCCAGGGCTGACTAACTCTGCTACCATCCAGGCCATATCCAGGGCTTTGAGTTGGCCCACCCCAACATCGACCCCATCTGTGACCTGCTGGAGCGCATGAAGGGACAGACTGGTCCTGTGGAACCATAGCCACAGGGTCTCCGTGACTCGGGCCAACAGCAGAATCTCTGAGAGGAGTTTCAGTGAGGGTCCAAGGATGATGGTGTGCTGTCCAGAGGCCTTGAACCAGACCAGCAACACATTACACAGCGAACACTTGCAAGTGAAGCTCTTTGAACAAAGTGGTACACTGAAGCTCTTTGAACAAAGTGGTACACTGAGTGACACACAGCAGCTCCCAATGCCACTAAGAAGAATAAAAAGGTGGGAAAGATGGAAGAGTTTTTTTTTTGTTTTTTTTTATACTTGATTGTTTTTTAGTTGATATTTTTGTTTTTTTGTTTTACTTTTATTATTTATTTTTAAGTTTCCTTTTAGAGGGAATGCTTTAGGAGTGAGAGGCATAGATGTAGGGACTGGGGGATGGGTGGGATTCAGTTGCATGATGTGAAATTCCCAGAGTCAATAAAAAATTATGTTGTTTTTTTTCCTTAAAGTACTATTGTTTACAGAAAATTGCGGTTGATGTGTTGATGTTTTTACCTTCTCAGAACAAACGATAAAACACTGTTTTCTCAGTTACTATGGAAGCAGCAATTTGCTATGTCATTAAAAATTCTGCACAGAGATAATTTTAATGTCTGTATAATGACCCATTGTGTGGATATCATAGTCACAGTTTGAATGTGACTCTGCCTGGTGGTCTGACGAGGTGTTTAAGACAAAATAACAAGGTTTCCACTTTAAATAAGCAGAGGTGCTCATACGATGCCCACCCTGACTCTCACACGAGTGGATCTTTGCTCTTGCATAATCTCCCTGGGCAGGTTATGTATCCAAATGGGAGTTTACCGAGTATATGTTTATTTGAGTGGTTTGTCTGGCTCTAAAACATTAAAGGAAGATTTTCTATGGACACGTATGACTATTCAATTATCAAATTGAGCCTATCAAATTACAAACTGAGTTTAATGCAGGTATGGAAATGTAGGTAAAATTTCTATCCTAAGACAGAAACAATCCCAGGAAACCAGCAGCATCCTGTGTTCGGAGCCGTAGAAAGGCATGGATACCAAGGCTTTCACGAACTGCATCCTTTCACTGGCTTCTTACAAAACTGGACAAGGAATGTTCCTATCTGGAAAGAGATAGACTAACAATAAAAAACACAAGTGTCATGTGGCTGCACTAAAATACACCAGTGTGTCCTATTCAGCAGTCCGGCAGATGGCGATTTCACAGCCAAAGGTGGCAGCAAGATGGGAAATTGCTTTCACGGAATGAGGAAAATACAGACTAGTAGGGACAGCTACTTAGTCCTAAACGCCGAGCACGTGAAACTGAAGTGAAGCTGGAAGGAGGCTGTGCCTTTGCTCTCTCTGATCTGCTCTGAGAACCACTGGTGTTCTGGCTGAGCCAGTGTAGACACTGGCCCTCTCTCCCCTGTCCAGGGCTCTTTCAAGCACACTGCTTCCCTGGAGGTCAGAAAGGACAGTTTTCCTCTTCCTTTGTTGCTAAGCCACAGCTTCATAAATAATCTAACTTTCATCGGAAGTGGGGAGAAAGGTCATGTGGGAAATAATTCCGTTGCTCCCAGCCAAAAGGACACAGTTGTAATAAAAACGTAAAATATAACATGCACTGACCTGCATCAACTGACACAAAAAGCTAAAGTTTTATGAAACAAATGTGCTCTTCTCCCTCCCTCAGAGAATTTAGAATTCTAACATACTTCTATACTGTTTTTCTGTTTTAAGAAAACATGAAATTTTTCTGGTGTGTGTGTGTGTGTGTGTGTGTGTGTGTGTGTGTGTGTTACTCTTGCCTCCCATGATCATAGAGACCAGAAGGGCTGATATTATGTGTTTTCCTCTATCACTGTCCATAATATTTTAAAAAATATTCATTTTATTTTAAAGTGTGTGTGTGTGTGTGATTTTTATGGGGGTGTGTGCACATGAGGGCAGATGCCTGCAGAGACCAGTGATGTCAGGGTCACTTGAAGCTGGAGCCACAGGTAGTTGAGAGCTGCTTGAAGGAGGTGGTGGGAAACCAGTTTAGCATCTCTGCAAATGCTGAGCCGTTTCTCAAGCCCTCTGCCGTAGTTTTGGAGAAGGGCCCTGGGATCGCTCACCCTGCTCACCCCTAGCTCTGGGGTTTCTGGGGTTACATGTGTGCATCACCATACCTACTGCATTGCTTATAGTGGGCCATCTCCCCAGACCCTCTAACAAGGGCTTTATTTTATTTTTTTTCATAGAATAAGATTTTATTTAGTAAAGTAATAAAAATAACAGGTTACTATGATAAACTTACTCGTGACTCATTTTATATGCAAACTGTGGGTGAAACATGAGCTGTACCGAGCAAACTGGCAGTTTCTGAACATCAGCTAATGATATGACTTCCTAGTAGGGCAGTGAATTTTTAAAATGAAATAGACCGAAGCACTCCCCTACATCTCTGCAACCAGAGACCTGCCCAGCTCAACAGATAACCATTGCCTAATGAACTAGAGCAGGGCTGATCATTATATTCTTTTTATCCCCACAGTAAAATTTAACATTCAAAATTCGAAAGGACGCTTAAACATCAATAATTTTTAGAAAGCGCCCAAACAGCACATCTGCAGGTCTACACCGGGTGTATTAAACCGCAGCTTTACTTTACCCGAGGCTTTACTTCAGCATGTATATTCAGGGGGTGGAGGCAGGACAGGGAAGAGAGGCTCCTGACTGTCGAAGACACAGAGAATGCTTATAGGGGCCGCTATTTAATTATTAGGTACCTTTACAGAAAAAAAAACAAAAACAAAACAAAAAACCCAAAAACAAAAACAAAAAACAAAGGTGCAAGGAAAACCAGGAAGAGAGTATACGCTATGCAGGAGCTCAGCAGTTGCTGTTACTAATGCCCCAGGTGCTTTTCCCAGGCAGAGCTCCCTGTTTACAGTCATGGACAGCTAGCTATTCTTGGCAGAATCCGACACCTCTTTCCTCCAAGCTTATCTGTCAATTACTGACAGTGGATGACAGTGGATGATCATGTGATCTCAGGGCCTGGGCTGAGCTGTCCTTGGCTCCTTACATTATCAACCTTAAGGACATCAATTCTCAGTTAGGAAGTGTGAGGCTGGTACAAGGAGATGCTGTAAGGACCATCAGCCCAAAAGACTCCCCAGCGCTTTGGTTGTTCAAAATGTCACTGAGGGTCCCCTGGGACACCAGAGGTATTGGGCCCCCGTGGAGCTGCAGTTACAGGTAACGGTTGTGACTTGCTCACAGTGGGCTTTGGGAAATGAACTTAGGTCCTCTGCAAGAGCAGCATGTGGTCTCTAGCCCAGTGGCAACTGTGCTATGGAGAATTCTACATGGAATAATTACTCCCAGGAGACAGTCATCAATATACGTTACACATGAAGACACTTAGAGGCGAAGAGGGTTATCTCATTACAGAGTCACACAGAGCGTGCAAACTCAGGCACAGAATCACAATAGTCACAGTGTCTGTTTAAAAACAGCCAAAGGTACACCATGGGCACAGCATTTCCATTAGCTAAGAGGAGTTTTTGCAGACTGTAGTGCCACAATTAATAATATGTACTGCGTATTTTTAAATGGTTAAACAGAATTTAAATGCTCTTAACAAAATATGCAGGTGAACTGACAGGTATGTTAATGATTTGACTTGATCTTTCTATAAAACATCACCGTGTACTTTATAAAAATACATAATTATTGTTTATTAGTTAAAATGTAATTTAATTATTAAAAACTAACTTTAAAAAGGAGCTATGGTGGGGGCCAAAGCCTTGGTCAAGGGTATTATCCATGGCAGAAAAGATTAAAAAATCTTATATTTGTCAAAACAGTGCATCCAACAGCAGTTTATATATTTGCTTAGCCTTGAAATTCCAATGCTGTTTGGTCAATTACAATGTAAAATTTGCTTGTGAGTCCTATGTTTTATTTTTGTATTTTTTTTTTGATCATGAATGACTTAGATTAGCGATCAGAATGGAGAATCATTCTGCCTAAGGTTGACATGAGACAGCAGAGGCAGACAGACAGACACGCACGCATGCACACACAGTGAGAAAGGCAGGCAGGGAGGGAGGGGCATTCTGATTTACAATTCTAATAAAAACAGATAAAGGCCAAGGACATTTTTGGTGGCTTCAGCCAGTCTCAGAAGTTGATGTGCACACTGATGCTGGCTTCCCTGTTCTTCTAACTTACGGAGGAACCACACCCTATGTTAGCCTGTGTTCTCTTCTCTGATATCATCCAGCATTCAAGACATGGCTCAGCACAAGAAGGGCTGTTATTATGGAAGAGTTATTTAGTGTAATGTGGTCAGGAGTTGTGTTCTAAGATTCATAAAAAAT